CATCAGAGGGAGTAACACCACCGAAGTCAATAGAGCTCTCCCATGGGCATCAGTGGAAAATCTAGCCCTTATGCCTTATTTCAAAAAGATACACTATTAACATTTTTGAAGATGGCTTACAGTGAAAAGAGTTTCCATTTCCATCCATCACAGTCCCTTCGAAATTGTAAAGAAGTCACTGGTTGTAGATGGAATTGATGTTACTTTAGATTTATTCATTATGGATAACCAACTGTGTCCACAATCCCAGAGGTCGAAATCAAGGGACGTGTCAAGTATCTGGAGAAAACAAGAGCTATGGACTACTCCATGCCAGTTTAAGAAAAGTCTTTCAAATGTGTCAGTGATATTTTTGTTGGCTGCTTTAAATCTAAGAAATGTGGGTCATTCTGATCTAGATTTATGTATTTATGCTTCCCATTTCTACTCTCTTGCCTCCAGTCTCTAATCACAATAAGCATTTCTTTCCTCAGATCATGGGGAAAGAAGGTCTGGACTATGTATTTGCAGTCCTCAACATCTCAGTGAATCTGAAAAGTCTTTATAGCAAAATCATTCATGATATTTTTCACTTTTAGGGCTGTTAAATGGAAACAATAATACTGTTGTGATTATCCCACTGCTTCTGTTACTGGTCATATCTTCCTTTAATACAGGGGCAGGAAAACTACGGCCCGGGGGGCCACATCCGGCCCATCAGATGTTTTAATCCAGCCCTCGAGCTCCAGCCAGGGAGTAGGGTTGGGGGCTTGCCCCGCTCCGTGCATGCCAGGTCTCTGCGCGGCTCCCAGAAGCAGCAGCATGTCCCTCCTACATGTAGGGGCAGCCAGGGGGCTTCACACACTGCCCCCACAGCTCCCATTCGCTAGCAACCACGGCCAATGGAGCTGCAGGGACGGTGACTGGGGACGGGGCAGCACACATAGAGTCTCCTGGCTGCGCCTCTGCGTAGGAGCCAGAGGGGGGACATGCTGCTGCTTCCAGGAGCTACTTGAGGTAAATGCCCCCTGGAGCCTGCACCCCGACCTCCTCCCATGCCCCAACCCCCTGCCCCAGTCCTGATCCCCCTCCCAACCTCCGAACCCCTTGGTCCCAGGCCGGAGCACCCACCTGCACCCCAATCCCTCATCCCCAGCCCCACTCCAGAACCCACACCCCCAGCTGAAGTCCTTACCCCCTCCCACACCCCAACCCCCAATTTCATGAGCATTCATGGCCCGCCATACAATTTCCATACCCAGATGTGGCCCTCAGGCCAAAAATGTTGCCCACCCCTGCTTTAATAGGAACATATAACTAGTTATTTAATATTAAGGCTAGTTTATTTCTCAGAGCAAATCTTTTGAATGCATCTATACTGTTTCTGCCATTATGGATCTTGTAGACTTTAACATCACTGAAAACAGTAGACATGACTCTGCCTGTCTGCCAATGATGGAAAATTAATGGTGCTACATTGTTGAAAGCAAGAGGAGAATCAAGCCCATTATACTGTTTCTAGAAACAGGGCACCTGCAACAACCTATTAAAGGGGGTATTGATTAGTGTTGATTTACTCTGTAGGTAGTAAATAGGGCTTAGTAGATACTAGACTGGTAAAATACTCTTAAAGGAAACTTGGACATTGGGTACATAAAAATTGCACTAATGTAACTATGTCAATGTAGGGGTATAGGAACTGATTAAATTGGTTAAGGAATTTGAAGGGATCAATGCTTAGAGGAAGAAGGAATGAAGAAGAGAAAAACAGATTATTTGTCTGCCTTTCCACATAAAGCTGCTGTCCAATTCTCTGTCCTATTTGTAAGCCCTAATTTCTGTCTTTTCTTTGGACACATCCAGTTATCCAGGCAGAAAATTTGGGCATATTTTGATATTAACTTCCCTGTGTGTGTGTGTGTGTGTGTGTGTGTGTAACTGTATTGCTCTTCCTCTGACATTATTAAGTCACTCTACCTTGTTTATTTGTTCTGAATGCAGTTCTATTCAGAAATCTAACGCAAGAATGTATTTTATTTTTTATTTTGCACAAGATGGGCATACTCAGCAATTACAGATGAAGGGAATAAGAACCACAGGAGATTTGCCAATAATAAGTTAACTGAAAATATTGACTGTTAAACCATTTATTTTTTTTTTCATTTTTTATAATGTAATTTAAAGGATGGATTGTATGGAATTGTATGATACTCAAAGAAAAATGGTTTTGGAAGATTGGAAGAGTCTGTGGAAAGAGCTACATGAAAGATAGTTATGAATTCACTAGCGCTGGAGTGACCATGTTAGTATTAGTATGTGTGTTAAGCCTCTGATCATGACAGTATGGACTGTTTCAGAAGCCTGAGTAGTCTTATTCTGAGGTGTGTGTTTGTACCGTTAAGTCACAGTGTTGTACCTTCTCTCCTGGTAAATTTGACTCCTGGGTCCTTGTAGTGAGACAATGACTCATCGGTGCTGTGCCTCCTGTCAGCCGTCCTGGAAATTAGCTCTGCCACCCCAGAGCGCCCTCTGCAGGCCGGTGTCTCACCGGCCACTGGCCCCCGTGTCCCTCCTGGACCCCGGCGCCCCTCTACAGGAGGATTCTGCCCCCTGCAGTAACCCCACAGCTCTGGGTCTCCCCACCCCGGGGAACCCCCAACCCTCTATCCCCACCACTCCTCAGTCTATGGCTATTGCCAGTCACCATCTAGCCCCCGCTCACTGGGGCGGACTGCAGTGTATAACCCATTCATTGTTGGCAAAGGTGGGTATGGACCTGCTGCCTTTGACTAGCCCCGGGGCTGCAGCCTCTGGGGAGTTGCCAGGCAGGAGCTCCCCTGCTCCTCTTGCCTTTCCCCAGCCCTGCTCAGTTGCCTGCACTCTCAGCTCCCAAACTCTGAAGCTAGAGGGAGAGTCCTGACCCTGAGGCCTTATAACAGGGCCAGGTGTGGCCTGATCGGGGCGTGGCCCAGCTGTGGCTGCTTCCCCCAATCAGCCTAGCCTTTGCTCACAACCCCAGCCCTCTCCCAGGGCTGGCTTTAACCCTTTCAGGGCTGGAGAGGGTGACCACCCCGCTACAGTCCTCCTTAAACATTATTTTGTGTTATGAAGATTCATATATAAATGATTATATATAAATCAAAAATAATATACAGGTATAGCTTTTTTCCCCTCTCAAACTAGTTCCAAATTTTTCCTTTGGAGATACTCCTAATCTGGTACATAACAAGTTTCTCAAAAGTAACCATTTATCTATCGGTTAATAGCTTCTCCCAGTCTGTTTTATCATTGCAATAATATTGTGCAAAAATGAGTGTCTAAAAATATCCACTCTATCATTGACTAGCTCTTATATTAGGCCAGAAAGTTCTCTTTAAAATAAAAAGACGAGGGGAAGTCAGGACTGTGGTTAATGAGAGCATGCCAATTAATGAGATTAGCTTTATAGACTCATTAATGCTATTAATTGGCATTACTGTCACCAATTAAAGATCCATGTTTATATTTTAAGCATAGGCCTTAAATGAAAAACTGGTGATGTGTTTTAAAGTGCTCTTTCCTTGAAGGTGATATTTCCATAAAATATGAATTGCATTCTCTTTGGTATTAACCATCTGAAAGGATATCTAGTTCAGTTCATACTATAGTAATATGAATACTGGTAACACATCTTTCTGCTTAATGCTTAATATCAGAAGATGTTTTACTTATTAAATTACAGATCCTGAGAAAAAGATGCCCTGCTGTTGCTCTCAGAACTGTGCTTTTGGGTATAATAGTGGTTCTTGCCTTTTTTGTTTTAGGGGCATTTTTTAATCTTAAGGTTTCAATGAACTTGTGTAATATTTATCTGATCTGTGACTCAACTTGTCCATTACTTACCTCTGTGTGTCTTTAGAAAGTCACTTTTAGTTAAATCCCTGGGTGCATCTCTGGGAGAATGGGCCAGATTCAAAGCTGATTCCATTGATTGGAATTGGGTAGCACTTGGCATGAATCAATAACGAATTTGGAATGTTGCTTTCAGACTAGAATTTTGTTTCTATGTGGGTGGGTAACAAATTTCCTATTGCATAATAGGCTGCATTTTTAAGGCTTTTGTTGTTATTATTTATCACTTATCACAGTAGTACCTTGCTGCCTAGTCAAGATCAGGGCTGCCTTGTGCTAGGCAACTGTACAAACAAAGAGTAATTGTCAGATCATTTACTGCTATGTTAATTTCCAGGTAAGACTTTATAAACTTTTATTAATTTTAAGTTCTCAAGTTTTTGACTGGAATCTTTAAGTTAGAATGATCTTATAGGGAAATAAATTAGATGTCTGGGAGGAAAAGGGATTAGCTAAAATAAATTTGACCAGTTTTGATTACAATCCCCAAGAAAGGAATTGCTAAAGTAGTTTCAAATAGAGACATCTGGAATCAAAATGACTACTACACAGCGGTGTATATTGGCACTCACTAGCAAAACAACTGTAGCTCTTTCTTTGAACTACTGCCTCCAGAAGAAGGTACTTCTGATACTGACATCTTAGCTCAGCCAATAAACACAAAAGTGGTTGCATTAAGTATGATACTCAGGAAGGAAAATGACAAACGCATAGAATCGTAGCGTTTAAGGCCAGAAGGGACCACCAGATCATCTAGTCTGACATCCTATATATCACAGGCCACCAACACCACCCAATCACTTGCACACTAACTGCAACAACTGACATTAGACCAAAACATTACAAACACGACCACATGAACAGCTGTAGGAAAGTAGGGGCAGAAGCAGGAAAAAAATGATCTAGTAAACCCCATTATTTAGGAATATCTATGATTTTTCCCCCTGAATACTAGCAACCCATTTCTAGTATTGATGCTCTTCACAGAAGGTAAATCATAACATACAAACTATGATGATTCAGTAAAATGTACATTCTAATGATGGCTCTTTTCTAGTTTTAAACACTGAAATGTACATGTCAAATGGGTTGGTGAATGATTTGCCACTTATGTTTGCTTTGTCTTTTAGCTCCAGACCAGTCTGAGTGAACCAATGACATTATCCAAGTCAATCTCACTTCCCCGTAGCGCATACTGGCATCACATCACCCGACAGAACAGCGTTGGAGAAATCTACAGTTTACAAGGCAAGTAGCTTTAAAAATGAAATGACATGTTCATTAGTTTCCCTCACATTGATCAGAATTCATGCTTATCATTTGCATTGGTTGTTTTCCCTTCATTTCAATTTATCAACTGTCACCAACTATAGAGGAACTCCTGAGATTTGCAATACAATTTTTTTTAGTTATTTTTTGATAAACTAATGGTGAAAATTACTTCCAGAATCACCATGCATCAGTCAATTTGGCAATGGAATTTGAATAAAACACTGTACAATGTAACTTATAAGTACCTAAAGAGTGTCTGGCATCTGGATCCGTTTCATAGTGTGTTCTGCAGAGAGCTTTTCTTGCATCTCCTTTTCCTAATAAGATAGAGTATGAGGAGGCCCAAATGATATTCATCCAAGAGTTCTAAAGGAACTCAAATATTAGATTGCAGAACTATTAACTGTGGTATGTAACTGATTGCTTAAATTAACCTGTGTTCCAGATGACTGGAGGGAGGGCTAATGTAATGCCTATCTTTAAAAAAAGCTCCAGGGATGATCCTGACAATTGCAAGCTGGTGAGCCTAACTTCAGGACCAGGCAAACTGGTAGAAACTATAGTAAAGAAAAGTATTTTCACATACATAGAAGCACACGATATGTTGGGGAAGAGTCAACATGGCTTTTGTAAAGGGAAATCATGCCTCACCAATGTATCAGAATTCTTTGAGGATGTCAACAAACATGTGGAGAAGGGTAATCCAGTGGATATAGTATACTTGGACCTTCAGAAAGCCTTTGACAATGTCCCTCACCAAAGGCTCTTAAGCAAAGTAGGCAGTCATGGAACACATAACTGGTTAAAAGATAGGAAACAAAGAGTAGAAATAAATGGTCAGTTTTTAGAAAGGAAAGAGCGGTAAACAGCAGGATCTCCCCAGAGATCTGTACTGGAACCAGAGCTGTTCAACATATTCATAGATGATCTAGAAAAAGGGGCAAACTGTGAGGTGGCAAAGTTTTCAGATAATACAAAATTACTCAATATAGTTAAGTCCAGGGCTGACTGAAAAGAGTTAAAAGGGATTTCACAAAACTGGGTGACTTTGCAACAAAGTCGCAGATGAAGTTCAATGTTGATAAATGCAAAGTATTTGCATTTGCACTGGAAAACATAAGCCTGACTATACATACAAAATGATGGGGTCTAAATTAGCTGTTACCACTCAAGAAAGAGATCTTGGAGTCATTGTGGATAGTTCTCTGAAAACATCTGCTCAGTGTGCACTGACAGTCAAAATGCTAACAGAATGTTAGGAACCATTGATAGATAATAAGACAGAAAATATTATAAAACCACTATGTAAACCCATGGTACACCCACATCTTGAACATTGTGTGCCGTTCTGGTCACCCCATTTCAGAAAAGTTATATTAGAACTGGAAAGAAGTACAGAGAAGGGCAATAAAAATGATTAGGGGCATAGAAAAAGACAGGGTCTGTTCATCTTAGAAAAGAGATGATTGATGGGGGGATATGATAGAAGTCTGTAAAATCATGGTGTGGAGAAAGTGAATAAGGAAGTATTATTTACTCCTTTAGATAACACAAGAACCAATGGTCATCCAATGAAATTAAGAGGCAACAGGTTTAGAATAATAGAAGATTAGGTTTGGAAGAGACCTCAGGAGGTCATCTAGTCCAACCCCTTGCTCAAAGCAGGACCAACCCCAACTAAATCATCCCAGCCAGGGCTTTGTCAAGCCAGGCCTTAAAAACCTCTAAGGATGGAGATTCCATCACCTCCCTAGGTAACCCATTCCAGTGCTTCACAACCCTTCTAGTGAAATAGTTTTTCCTAAAATCCAACCTAGACCTCTCCCACTGCAACTTGAGAGCATTGTTTAAAATAAACATAAGGAAGTACTCCTTCCCACAATGCAGTCAACCTGTGGAACTTGTTGCCAGGGGAATGTTGTGAATGCCAAAAGCATAACTGGGTTCAAAAAAATAATTAGATGAGTTCATGGAGGATAGGTACCTCCATGGCTACTAGCCAAGATAGTCAGGGATGCAACCCCATACTCTGGCTATCCCTAAACCTCTGACTGCCAGAAGCTGGGAGTGGATGACAGGGGATGGATCACCACATAATTTCCCTGTTCTGTTCATTCCCTTTGAAGCCTCTGCATGGGCTACTGTCAGAAGACAAGATACTGAGCTAGATGCACCACTGATCAGACCCAGTATGTCCATTCTTATGTTCCTATGTATTCTGGAAGCCAGTTTCAGGGCGTCTGATTAAATCTGCATAAAACTGATGTATGAGTTTCAAGTCTAAAATTAAAACCCTTAGAACAGGGGTGGGCAAACTTTTTGGCCTGAGGGCTACATCGGGGTGCAAAACTGTATGGAGGGCTGGGTAGGGAAGGCTGTGCCTCCCCAAACAGCCTGGCCCCTGCCCCCTATTTGCTCCCTCCCACTTCCCGCCCCCTGACTGCCCCCCTCAGGACCCCCGACCCATCCAACTCCATCCTGCTCCTTGTCCCCTGACTGCCCCCTCCCAGGACCCCTGCCCCTAACTGCCCCCGGGACCCCACCCCCATCTAACCCCCCCGCCCCACTCCTCCTCCCCTGACTGCCCTACCCAGAACCTCTGCCCTATCCAACCACCTCCTGTTCCCCATCTCCTGACCGCCCCGAACCTCCACCCCATCCAACCGCCCCCTGCTCCTTGTCCCCTGACCACTGCCTCCCGGGACTCCCTCCCCTAACTGCCCCCCAAGACCCCACCCCCTCTCAACCCCCCCCCCGCTCCCCGTCCCCTGACTGCCCCCCCAAACCTCTGCCCCATCCAACCCCCTCCCATTCCCCCTCCCCTGACCACCACCCCCAGAACCTCCGCCCCATCCAACTGCTCCCTGTCCCCTGACTGCCTCCTGGGACTCCCTACCCCTTATCCAACCCCCTGGCCCCGGCCCCTTACCATGCTGGTCAGAGCAGCATGTCTGGCCACCGTGCCACCTGGCCAGAGCCAGACACGCTGCCGCGCTGCCCTGCATGAGTGTACAGCCCCGCCGAGTGAACGGCGGCTTGGTTGCGGGGGATGGGGAACAGCGGGGAGGGGCCGGGAACTAGCCTCCTGGGCCAGGAGCTCAGGGACTGGTCCTGTGGGCTGGATGTGGTCCGCGAGCCATAGTTTGCCCACCTCTGCCTTAGAATATCAGTGATTTTTGGTGAATATGCTTATAACTAGAGACAAATGTTCTGCCCTTGGCTTGACTAAATAGGGGCCTGATTCTGAGACATGATGAGGAAGGCAGAGTATTTTAGTGGTTAGGACCTGTACTGGGACTGCAGGGACCTGAGTTCTATTGCAGCTGTGCCAATGACCTGCTGTGTGAGACCTGGAGCAAGTCTATGTATCTCTTTGTGCTTCTGGTTCTTCTCATGCCTTTTGTCTTGTGTATTTAGATAGATTCTCCTCAAAGAGGTTACAGTCTCTTATTATGTGTTTGAACAACATCTAGAACAGTTGGGCCTTCATTTTGTTTGAGACTTCCAAGTGCTACAATAACAAAAATTATTAATAATGATGAATAATGCCAAAGATGAGTAACTTCCCTTTAAGTTAAGTGGAGAGGCAGGTGATTTGCCCTTCAATGGTACAGGCTCTTTATGTATTTTAAAATTTAACACATAAATAAGAATAATGTTTTCATTCAAACTGAAAAATAAAACAAAAATCTACATGCTATCTATCCCTTTGTGTAATTTGACCAGGGTTTAACAGTTTTACCTGGCTTATCTCTTAATGAGATATGTGCATGTGCACTATCAATTTACAGCCAGAGGTAGAGGTTAGATATTTCAGGGTGAAATATTTGCTGAAATATCTTGCCTGAGAAAATATTTTACACTTTTTCATGAAACCTGGTGCAGTGCAGTGCCTTGATGAAAGACCTGGGCTGTTTTGTTTTGTTTTTTAAATCATCATATAAATTAAACCCAGCAGGTGGGAAGCTCCTGCAAAGATTGCAGAAGAGAAAACATCTGTACACTAAAGCGTGTGTTTGTAAGTCCTGAATTCAACCCATAATGTAAGCATTATTAACAGGATAAAACATTTTTTTCTTTTCTTGCCTTATCAAAGAAGGGCAATAAAGCAGAATAACTTTCTAATCAGGCAGTTGATGCAACTTCTGAGTTTTGTATTAGAGACTCATTCCTGGTTTAGAAAATATCCCAGGACTTCATGGCTAAAAGTTTATAGACAACAAAGATGTCGTAGATGTCCTACAAACACATGCAAATATAGAGGTTACTACATAGACGTAGCAAAGGTGGGTGTTTTATATTTACAGCATTCTTCACATGACAGGGTAATTCTGTGCAAATCTTGAAAAACAAAACAAAATTAATTGTGACCGATAACAGGATGGTGTTTAACAGCCAGTATCTTTCTGAGTGTTTTTTGTCTGTTTACCTGGCCATCTGGACATTCACATCATTGTGCTAACCAAAAGGTATTGTGGAGTTGATTGTGAAAAAGATCTTAATAATGTATTGCTTGGATGACCTTCACCATATTGTAGATATTTCACTATATTCGTATAGTAATAAATATAAATAAAATGTATACGCATTCAGATATTACAGCTCTTCTCGTTATGTTCAGTTATGTTTTGGGGGGAAATCTTTTACAATATTAGCTATTTTTGACAGGACAATGTTATGGTGTTTGTCTTGTGAGACAAATATATGAGACATTGACAGTGAGACAATTTTATGGAACATTGTGCCATATCTTGTGTTTCTGAAACAGCAGCTTTGCTAGTATAGGATTAGTGTAACAAAAATGTAGGAAATAAGGCGAGGTATATGGAATATAATAATAATAATAATAATATGCATAACTGGTTTCACAGGAGAAAATATTTTAAAATATGGTATACCAGTATATGTATCTTTAAAACTGCAGAAATTCTACTTTATGAAAAATTGTAGATTTTTGTATTCCACTAAAACATGAT